TCTACCGACAACACACAACACAGCTCTACCGACAACACACAACACAGTTCTACTGACAACACATGGGTCATCGTGAGTGGGAGTTGACAATAAGGCAGCTGGTTTTACTAATTTATTACTTGTTACTTTTACTACTACACTCTTGTATTTTTCTTTTATGACTAATTATTTAATAGTCACACTGTTTTTCCATTATTATTGGTGGTAGTAATGTGTGCTGTCGAGTCAATTCCGACTCAAATCGACCCCATGTGACACATTTTCTAGAGGCTTCCATCTTTCTGGGAACAAATCACCAGGCCTTCTTCCCATGAGCCACTGGGGGACAGAGAACTTCACCAACACGTCACCGGGGCTACTCCTGCTTATTATTATTCTCAATGTTTTTTCTATTGTTTTTCCAATTACTATCATGCCTTCCGTCATTCTTATACTTATTTTCATCATTTTTCCTATGATTATTGCTACTCTGTTTTGACGTTTTTTTTATCATGTACCAGGGACTTCAAAAAGTCTGTGGAAGAATGGAATGAAAAGGTAATGAAGTGGGAGACTGAGGATCTGTTCTGTAAATCTGCACTCAATTAACAATAAAAAGTAAAAAAAAGATAATGTTATACAGGGTCACTATGGGTCGGAATCGACTTGACAGTGCTTAACAACAAGTTTCTATCAGACTCCTAGCAACCCGACCTGTCTGCCCAACTTCCAGGGGCAAGGGTATGGGGAAGGGTGCATCATGGGAGAACCGTGAGCACGCGCACACCTGCGTGATGAGGAACTTGGTGAGGCGCTCAGGCAGTCGTCCCTTTTCGCTGGACAGGATCATCTCCAACATGTCCCCGTGTAGCTTTTCCATGACCACGAACACCTTCTCAGGCGTCTCGAACATGCATTCCAGATTGACGATTCCAGGGTGCCTCAGGCTCTGAGGGGAGGCAGGGGGCAAGGCAGTGTGAGTGGTGGTCAGGGCATGGTTTACCCAGGGCCTCAGAACCCTAGACTGCAAGTCGTGGGAACAGACGGGGGCAAACATGAGGGAGGACATCCCTGGTGGGCAGCCACTCCATCACTCCCTGGGGAACTCTCCCCCAAGCACTGGGAGAAGGGGAGGGTCTAGCCACAGACCATGATCTGAGCGAGACCACCCCCCTTGCACTACTAGGGTGCCAAACAGACCTTTATGTAAAAAAGTTCTGGGAGGAAGGGCAGGAAAGCCTGTACCAGCGGGCATAAAAGAGCCTGGGACATTTGTGTTTTTAGGTCAGTTGCCTCCTGATGGAAGTTGAAAGGGAGGGCTCTCTCCTGGGAGGTGGCAGGGCTGTGTGTGGCATAGACCCCATGGTCACCTGCAGAATGGCGACCTCATTCCGGAGCTGGCTCTCCTGCTTGGTGGGGAAGCGCAGTTTGTCGATGACCTTTACTGCCACATCTCGGCCTGTCTTCCGGTGTTTTCCTGGGGCGGGAGTGGGGGAGAATAGAGGAGATGGGAAATGAGGGGAGAAGAATGATCTCGGGCTGTGCTGTCATCCCCTCATCCCGCCACACACAGCCAGAGTAGGGCAAAGGTGCATGGCAGGCTATCAACGTGGCTAAGGGCTAAGGTGGGAAGCAGATGGAAATATGCTAGGAACAGTGGGTCCTGGAATTAAAGATGGAACAAATTAAGATTTAGAACCAATCAGAAGCTAGGATTTAGCTCTGTGGCCGAAATGTAGTACTTAATCCCCTCCCTATTAACAACCGGAAAAAGTATACTGGTTTTTCCCAAAGACAAATGAAGATCTTGTAATCCTCTGCACCCAAGATCTACCGTATAAACAAACTGCTGTTTGTTTAGCCAATTACAACTCAAGGTGCCTCCATGTGTATCAGAGTAAAACCGTGTTCTACAGGGTTTTCAATGCCTGACATTCTGGAAGTACATCTCCAGACCATCCAAGGCACTTTGAGTGGACTTGTGCCTCCGGAACTTTCAGTTAGCAATCAAGTATTCAAACGTTTGCACTGTCCAAGGACTCCTAGCTTTCTAAGCCAATCAAAAATGCAAGAGGTGTGAGCATATGGCCCAACAGTACTGAAAATCTGGAGCTTAGAACAGCTTCTCCTGCCCCAAGAACCCCCTTCTAGTCAGCTCTGAAGTATTCGTAGTTCCTACCTCCGTAAACCACTCCAAACTGCCCAGAGCCCAGCACCTCATCCGGGAAGATCTGGTAGACAGTGGCGATGTCCTGGGGGGTGGGGACAGGGAGGGCATGGAGATATGGGAGGAGTCAAAGAGATTGGGGAGGTTGTATGGGAAGGAGGCATCTTGGATCCATGAGGTGTGAGTAGGAGTCTTACCACATTCTCTTGGATCTCACTGTTGGACACAGATATACTCAGAGAAGCTTGTCCTGGGGAGAGGAGAGAGAAAGAGGTGAGGAGCTGGCTCACACCATCCTCCCCCATAATTCCAGAGATAGTCCTGGGATCCAGACCACTTGGGTTCAAATCCAGGCAACCCAATACGGGACTTTATGCTAGTAACTTGTCCACTATGAACCTCAGTTTCCTCATCTGGACAATGGGCAAAGAGGGAAATTAACAATAGGGTCATTGTTGACACCCTCACTGGGATGTGAGCCCCCAGGAAGGCCAGGCCAGGGCTGTCCCACTAGGTCCCCAGCACAGGCTGACCACAGAGGAGCTTCTCAGAAAAATGCATGACTTGAATGAAATGATCCTCTCACCAGGAACTGTATGTGTCTATTCTCAAAAAGAACAAAAACATTAAAAAAATATATATATATAAGGCAAAAAAGTTCATCTCGCTGTGTGAGGGAGTTGCAGCCAGGTGGAATACGGCATAGTGAGGTGAAAGCGACAAGCCTCAGGGCACACAGCAGGTCAGCAACCAAATGGAGATGTGACCCAGGCCTGCTGACTCCAAATCCATGCTCTTAATCTCATTTCTGATCTCTCCTGGCCAACCCCCCAGGCCCACCCTCCCAAGGACCTGAGGGTGGGGTGGGGGAGGGACAGACACTCACTGTGGGGCGTGTGACCCGAGGTGCTGGGTCCATCCTGAAGGATGATGGGCATCAGGGCCTGGCGGATGGCCATCTCCCAGCTCCGGGCTGCCTCAGCTCCTTGCCCGCTTGGCCCCCCTGGAGCCCCGCCAGGTGTCTCGCCCACAAAGTAGGTAACATTGGCAGTGATGATCTCGAAGCAGTGTGGGTTGGTGCCCGGTGGCACAAGGCTAAAATTCTGGGCGGGCTCCATGGCGAGGATTTCGGACAGCGGAATCTCCTGGTAGGACATGGAGCCAGCACAGGTGAGGGTCACGGGGTCCAGTTTCACTGGGGAAGGGCCTGGGTGGCACAGCGTGGTCAGGAAAGTTACAGTATAGACCAGAAAGGTAAGAAGGGACCATTTGCTGGCAGAGGAACAGAAGGCCCCGAGGTAGCAAAGGCATACTGTGTTCAGAAGGCATGCCATGTCCCTGTTAGCGGGAAGTCCGGCACACAGTAGACAATAAATGATGAATACATGAAAGAAAGGAGTTTAGGGTGGAACCAGGGAGGATCTCATGGGTCACAGGGTGGGGCCTAGACTTTGTCCTGAGGGCCCTGGGGAGCCACAGAAAGGTTTTAAGCAGAGGAGGGCAGGTCCTTCTGCCTATGTATGGAAGGTCAACAGGAAGGGAAGAGAGTTAAAGTAGGAAAACAGGAGGAGGCTGGGAGAGAGAAGAGTATGATTTGAAAAGTATTGAAAGAGAATGAATGAGGATGGGCGGGAAGGAAGAAAGGAAAGAAGGAAAAGAAAGAATACAAAAGAGGAAGAATATGAGGGAAGAGGAAAAAGAGAAGGAAGGAAAAGAAAGACAGGGACAGAGAGGGAAAAATGGAAAGAAAGAAGGAAGAAGGAAGCGAGTGGAGGGGAAGGAAGGACAAGACCAAAAGAGAAAGACTGGAAAGACTGACAGACTGAAGGTTGGTGATAAACAAATAAACACCAATTAGCAATCCAATAAAGCAACAGAAAAGAAATCCTGGCACCAGGCTCATAATTAATGGGCACTTAATGCAAGGCCAGCCCTAGGCTAGCTAATTGCTTTCAGGGAGTTATCTGAGCTCCCACCACAGCCAGATAAGGTGAGGACCACCAATGGAGGCATTTCACAGGTGGCAGATGTGAGGGAGGCATGGAAAAGTCAAAAACTCAAGCATCTGGCAGGGAGGCCATGGAGGTTGGGTTGGCTTAAGTACCAGGGTGGTAGGGGTGGGGAGCAAAGGGAGGAGGTGGGTAGAGCCAGAGGTGTGGGGCCACTGGCCCAGGCAGGCTCACCTTGTAGTAACGGTTGGTCGTGTTGTTCTGGAAGAGTGTAATACACTTAGAGTCCAGCCGCCAGTAGTGCCGTTTCCTCTGTTGGGAGGTGATGGAGACAGTGAGGGATGATCAACCTTCAGGCTGTTTCTGGCGCCTGGCAAACCTGCTGCACAGCCTGTCCCTCCCCCGTCGAGCCCCTCCCCTTTGACCCCTAACCCTAGCTCCGCCCCCACCGGCTCCCACTCAGCGGGGCCCAGCCTCACCTCCACCTAAATCCCTCTCACTATAGTCCCGCCCCTAAAACCCTTTTCTAATTTAGGTCTACTCCATCTGTGGCACTGTGGGTTAATACACTGGACTGCAGGGTCGGTTTGAAGGACAAGGTCGGCGGTTCAAGGTCACCAGCCGCTCCTTGTAACGCTATACAGAGTCACTATAACTGACTTGACGGCACTTCACAGCAACAACCAAGCAGCCTGCCTGGAGCCCTGGTGTGGCGCTGTAAACACTTGGCTACTAACGACAATGTCAGCAGTTCAAACCCACTAGCTGCTCCTTGGAAACCCTATATCGGATCGCTGAGTCAGCTCCAACTTGATGACCCTTAATAGCAACAACATCCAGCCTGCCCTTTTCTCCAAGCTTTGCCCTTGCTCTGCCTCAGCCCTATCTCTGGCAACATCCAGATAGAGCCTCACGTTCTAAAATCCTTTATTTAAGCCACACCTGCTTTGTGTCCAACCCCCTGCTGTTGATTCAGACTCATACTCTTCTGACCCAGTAGGACACAGAAGTGCCCCACAGAGGTTTCTGAGGCTATAAATATTTATGGAAGCAGACAGACTGCCACACATTTCTCCTGCAGGACATCTGGAGAGTTTGATGGTCCAACGAGGCGGTTAGCAGCCTGCAGCAAAGCAGGGCCACCAGAACTCCTCATTCCCTAAACAAAAAAAGAACACACCCAAACCCAATGCCATCACCACCACTCCTCTGCTCTCTGTCACACTGTGGTGGCTTGTGAGTTGCTGTGATTCTGGAAGCTATGCCACTGGTATTTTAAATACCAGCAGGGTCACCCATGGTAGACAGCTTTCAGCTGAGCTTCCAAATTAATACAGACTAGGAAGAAAGAGAGACCAGACTTTCAAATATTTAGTCTCTGAAAACTTTACAAATATTGTCAGGTAGCAACAGAATATTGAAGCATGATGAAGAATACCAGAATATTAGCAGAGACATTGCTGAAAAATGAGTCCCTCAGGTTGGAAGGTACTCAAAAAGTAAGACTGGAGGAAAGCTGCCTTCTCAAAGTAGAGTTGACCATGATGAGAATGGAATAAAGCTTTT